CCCCCCCCCCCCCCCCCCCCCCCCAGCCCCAAAAACCCTTGACCTGCAAACTTCTAGAAAAGAGGTGGGGGAGGAGGGGGGAGTGGGAAATTGCCTTGTGTTCAAGTGCAATCTGATTGATTAATATAAAGGAACAGATTTTAATTTTAAAATAGCTGCCTTTTAATGCTGTCTAGCTCATTAAGTTCTGAATTTCTGGACTGTATTTGCCCTCCCAGAGCACATATTGTCAGCACATTGGACTGGAGTTCATGTTTATCAATGATGTTGAGCAATGCCAGTGGATCCGGCAGAAGTTTGAGACTCCTGGTGTCATGAAATTTACAAATGAGGAAAAAAGGACTTTATTGGCTAGGCTGGTGCGCTCAATGAGGGATGCTTGGGATGAGTGGGGCTGCTGCCTTTGTAGAGGGATATCGAAATTTGTTCAGAAACAAATAGGCATTTGACTTCTTCCTTTACTGAGGGGTGAGGAGAAAAGGTTAGATTCTCTGATTATTTCCATGGTTTTAATGGTAGGGCAAGCAGGGTGTTTGGTTGATATATGGCAACTGGAAGAATGGCTTAACTACATGACCTACATGAAGAGTGGCTTCAGATTCTGTCAGAAGCTTTCCTATCTGGTTGAGGTATTTGAGCCTTTGCATCAGACTAGTAGTCCAGTGACTCCAAATTCAGATTAACTGTATCTTCAGGATTTCCTTTAGGTAGGGAGAATCTCTAGGAGATGGAGCCAATGGATTCTCCCATTAGATGTTAAATTTATGGCATGATTAATGTGTTAGATGTGCCATAATGGCAACATAGTGCAAGTTCAGCCTCTTTGTGGTACCATAAAATGGCAAACCAACTACAAAGGTGTTCCACATATATTATATGTGGAACGTTTTTGTGATTCATTTATTTTTTTTAATAGGGTCTTAAATAGAAAGGGCATGCCAGATCTTCAGCACAGTACATAGATTGTAAAGGGCTGGAAGGGACCTCACAAGATCAGGTCCAACTCCCCTGCACTAGGCAGGAAAGATAACTGGGGTCAGGTGACATCCAGTGAGGTGACCGTCCAGTCTCCTCTGGAAGATTTCAAGGGTAGGCGATTGCACCACCTCTGGAGGGAGTTTATTCCACAGTCTGGACACCCTAACTGTGAAAAAGTTTTCACTGATTCTATGATTCCCAGTCTAGCTCTTCTCCCTGGTTGGGTGGTCTGTAGTAGACCCCCACTGTTAAGTCCCTTCCGCCTAGTAAATAGTAAGTGCCCATTTTCTTTTCCATGCAATTCTTGATTTTATTAGCTCTTTGTCATATGCCCTCTCAATTTTCATTTCTCTAAGCAGAAAAGTCCTAGCTTGAGTTAGTTTGTCATAATACTGAAGTCTGTCTATACCATTTTTGTTACCCTGTTCTGTTTCTACCTTTACTCTGTCCTTTCTGGAGGTTGGGGGCGGGGACCAGGACTGCATGCAGTTCAAGGTGAGGGCTCATTGTTATGTACATATGTCTTGGTTCCCACCCATGTGCATCACTTTGCACTTAGCAACCTTGAACATAATGGGTCAGTTTGTCCATACATACATTTTTACAAGATCCTTCTGTAGCTTTTTCATTCAGCTTAGTTTATTAGCACCCAGAATAATTTGGTATCATCCACTGGTGGATCTAGATTTGAAAAAGGGAGGGTGTAGGAGTTCTGACTGGAGGTGCAGGGGGGTTGCTGTCACCCCATTTCCCCCATGCTCCCCTGAGTTGGCTGACTGGTGGTGGCAGCAGTTGCTAGGGACTTTTTTGAATCCCCAAAGCAGGTATGGCCTCCTCACTCCCTAGCTCTGGGCATTTCCTCCCTTCCAGCACTCAGCAGGATCTCCACTCCCTCCTATTCCTCACCTTCCCCTCTGCAGCAGAGTTTGCCTGTGGGTATAGGAAGGCGGGGATTGACTGACTCAGGGTCAGGAGAAGTCTGAGGGCCACTCCTGCCCCACTCTAGCCAGGAGCTTCTGTGAGCAGATGCACAGAGAGCTGGGCTCAGCTGGGAACAGTAGCAATGGAGAGGAGACCCACCTCACTCCCTGCTCCCGGCCTGATCATCAGGATCTGGGTTTTCCATTTGCTGTGAAAAAATGTGGATTTTCTCGTTTAATGGGAAAAGCATGGGAAACCATGGGTTTCTCCTTGTAGCCTGGCAGTGTTCCAGCCTGCAGGGGGCTGCTTGGGGCTGGGGAGAGTGGGATGCAGGGGTGCCACATGCATGTGCTCTCGTGCACATTCTTGCGGCAGCCAGGCAGGGTGGTTAAGAACAACTCCTGTAGCTCCCTTTTATGGGGGGGAAGGGGGGGGGCGCACAGGTGAAGCAGTGGGTGGTCAAGGTGGCATGGTGGGGGGGACATGTGCCCCCCAAGATTTCTGTGCCCACAGTGGGGTGTGGAGCTGCAGCAGGGCTTGTCCAGCCCTGGGCATATTTATGAATATGTTAAACAGTAAATGCCCCAGCATAGGCCCTTAAAGGATCCCACTGCTTACCTCCCTATCCTTTGTGAACACTGGCTGTTTAACCTACTCTTTGCTTCCTGTCCTTTATTCTGTTACTGATCCATGAATAACTCTTATCTCTGCCATGACAGTCTCATTTAAGTAAGGGCTTTTGGTGCAGAACTATTCTAAAAGTTTTTTGAAAGTCCAGATATACTGCATCAACCTGATCCACGTGTTTGTTGCCCTCAAAGAACTGTAGTAGATTGGTGCATCACATTTGTTTCCCTGGGGACAAGAATCAGCGATACACCTTGTGCTGTTGCAAATTGTCTCTGGGGAACACCTGTGCCACACGCCCTCTGGGGTACCAGGTTACCATGGATGGGGTAGGGAAAGCTGGGGCCAGCACTGAGCTGGCCCCAGAAGCCTTACTTGGATTGTCTAGCAGCACTGAGAACAGATGCATAGTTTGGGGTGCCACAGAACACATGGCTGATCATGTCTGAACGCAGCTATGGAGTCTTTCCCAGCAAGTCCTGTTCATTCATGTGATGCACAGTTCTAGCAGTGGTGGTGGTAGTAATACTAATGCCATTAAGTGTTGCTGTTGTTAGGTGTTGTTTCTGTTAGGTTCACCTGACTAGTCCCATGAATTCCCTCTGGTGTCTGTTTTTAAGGTGGGTGTAACACTGGCTATCCTTCAGTCCTCAAGCACAGAGGCTGTTTTTGGACTGATTTAGAGTGTGTTTAAGGGAATATGCTTCTTCATTAGTTTTCTTTTTGATCAAGGCTGTTGAGAGCTGTTAAAAAAGAAACTCCAAGAGAACATACTGAAAGCATTGTTTCTATGGCTAGGTACAGACAGTCAAAAAGCCCGAGGCTGAATTGATTCAGTCTTTGCAAGTTAGTCTAAGATGCACAGATTAAATTGAAACAGAAGTGAACAAACATTTACCTTTGATTCAAGAAATGCAGCCACATGCCTGTCAGGGCTCAGGCCAGAAGCTGGGGGGTACTAACTAAAGCATGGCTCTCTGGCTGTATGTTCACTTCCTCTTCCTGCTGCCCCTGAGGTCTC